TGAAGGACCTGTCGACATTCCGTCTGATGTATGTCATGGCAGTGATGGAACTGTCGACATTCCGCCCGACCCTACCTCAAACCCACGTACATGGCTCTATGTTCTGGAATATTTTTACTCCGCTCGTATGTCACTGGCTCTGAATATAACACCTCCTCCCTTGTTATCCACAATGTGTAATGTCGAAGAACTCATTCTTCCTCTAGTATGAATGGGTTTGTGATAAGAGATATTCATATTATTTAACCAGACCAGAATGTATCATGAGATCTAACAACAGATCCCTAGAGCTATGTTCCACTTCCCGAACTGAGAGACATTCCAAAAAAAAAAAAATTGATATTTATTTAGCCGTATTTACGATGAAGTTAACTTACGCTGACATCTTTGCATTTTTATTTCTATGCGAGTCTGCTATCGTATGGAGATACATCTGCAGATATAGAAGATGCGCCTAGTCTCTACTTGCAGATATAGAAGATGCGCCTAGTCTCTACCTGCAGATATAGAAGATGTGCCTAGTCTCTACCTGCAGATATAGAAGATGTGCTTAGTCTCTACCTGCAGATATAGAAGATGTGCCTAGTCTCTACCTGCAGATATAGAAGATGTGCCTAGTCTCTACCTGCAGATATAGAAGATGCGCCTAGTCTCTACCTGCAGATATAGAAGATGTGCTTAGTCTCCACTTGCAGATATAGAAGATGCGCCTAGTCTCTTGTTACGCACTGACATGTATTGGGAGAAATTAATCTCCTATTTTAATTTTAATTGGCTCGTTGTAAGCAGTGCCTAACAAAGGACGATACCATAGAATCAACAATATTAAAGATACGACCCAAAACAGTTTCTAGTTACAATTAATTACAATTTATTATGTCTTAAGATAATTACAAAAGAAAAGAAAAGACTGAAAGGTTCTTCGAATGCTGGAATGGGTTGAAGAGGAGCTGCTGGTATCTTCTGATTTGGTTTCCCTACAACCTGACAAGTATGACATGATCTGCAGTAGTCAACCACATCTTTCTTGATTTC